GAGAGTACGAAACATGGAGCATTTCAAATCGAAGGGCACAGGCAAAACGAGAGAGACAGAGTTCTTGGTTTGAATTAATGATCCTATTTCAAATCCGCATAATGGAGAAAGTTGCGCACTCCGGTTGAGGGGAAAGCCAGGAAATAGCCGAAGACGAACCGCTCCAAAGCACGTGCTGTGCTTTAAAAGTCCATCTCGAAGAAAGACCGTATACTCATTCAAAATTTATAAATCCACTGTAAGAACATGGACTTATTTCCATTTCAGAAGAACTACAAAACACAGAATCACTGAATTTTACGAATAAATTCCACTGGGCTGTCATCATCTCTATGAAAATATGATAAAGAGTACATACACTTTTCCGAAAATTCCTCGCCCAGTCAATCGAAATGCCATCGAAATGCCATCGAAATGCAAAATTACAAATTTTTATAAAAAACTTCCTCTCCAATAGACTTTGTTTCATCAGAGCGCTTTATTCCAGCCATTAATTACCCAAACATACAATAAAAATTAAAAAGAATTTTTTCTCTTTCGTTGTTTTTCCATATTTTGGAATAAATATGCTAAATCAAGAGTTATTGTTGAGCGGAAGAGGATTGACCTGGGAATGCTATTAGAACCCTAAATTAGGTCAATCAATAGGAATACGATGCAATAAATAGTCAATAGGAAATCGGAAAAAAATCAATTCTACTTGCAAAACGATCATGAAAAGATTTTTTTCTAGTGCAGAAAACAATATTAGTTAGGTGTCTCTATTATGCCCAAAGTGAGGGCGTGGAGTAATTGGGAATAACGGAGTTGAAATAATGGATAAATAATTTTGAGGGATGCGCGCAGTAATAAAATGAGGAAACTCGAGAATTCGTGGGATCACAGGTGTGGATCGAATGTTTTGGTTACATGAATACATGCATATACCCCTCGGATTTCCATGGATGTAGTTTAATTCGCTGAACTGGGTTCTGGCTTGAAGCAAATTGGTGGAGTTAGCGTGCGGTAATGTGGATTCCCAGGTGAAATGAGCCAACTCCAATGGTGGCTCAACTGTGATGCATCAGTCAGTGTTTAAGTGTTAACCTCAACGAATAGTAGGTGATTCTAGGAGTACATGTCCTCTCAATTTATCTGCTAAACCTTAACCGACGAATCTGTCGCAAATGCTTAAACTGATGAGACACTTGCGCTTTCGAATCACAGGTTTACAAAATTTTTTTAATTTTCCCTAGATTTTCTTCATTCCAAGGGAAAAGCCCATTGCATTTTAATTACGTGAATTTTTCATGAAAACTCAGCGATTTTCTTTCAAAACTGACGAAATTATTGTTCTAAATATTATCCACTGAATCTCAATGCGATGATTAATCCGTGAATGAGAGGTAAAACCTTGGGCGTAAGTACAATAATAATTATGGAGTAGTAATTATATAGTAATAGTTAGTAATTATCTAGTATCTGTTTTAATCTTCCTCCTCGACATGTATCGGAATGAAATAGCAATTTATCCATCTTGCCTGCACTTACTCCTCAAGGCCGACGGTGACTATTTATCACCCTCGTACTGAGGGCACAATTGGCTCGTAATGCTTAGCATAGAACATAGAACCAAAACCTGGAAATACGTTGAAATATAGTGAATTTCGCCTGGTGAAACCATCCCGCCTTTTCGAGGTTAAAGCACGTACTGCACCAGGAACAAATTAAAACCGCAATCCGTGCTTCGGTCGATGCTGGAATGAATATACTAGAATGTAGATAATGGCTCAATCGTTTTATTTTTTACCAGTAAATTGGGACTACCGGCTGATCACGTTTTAATCCGATATCCGTGGATATTTATTTCATTTATTGTATTCCATTGATAATGCCTGGCCACACAAAAAAAAATATATCCACTTGTTGTTTATTTTTTATGAAAGTTATGAGGAGATAATTCCCCGAAAATTCTTGCATCCTGTGGAATTTCGATGAAAGTACACTGCGAGAAAAAGTCCGTAAAAATGACCCGAATGCCATAGGCAATTTATTCTCTAACGGTTAGGCAATTATTACTAAGTAGTCGACAAATTTTGGTAACCGGTTAATTTTTCCTGAAGGCTTAAAACAGGATTACCAAACGGTTAGGTATTTTTTCCTGATTTGTGTTCTTCGCGCAGTAAAGAGCTCGGGTAAATTGTGGGACTGATTAGTTCAGTCAGAATGAGGGTTGGCCCTCCAATACTGGTAGACTAATTTCTGGGGACATGAGTATGCAAAAAGGGGAAACTGCAAGCTCGACATGCTTCCTCGCGCCACCGACGTATTTCATTTAGAGGTATTTTTTTGTGCAACCGACGGTGTAATTATTCTAGCGGTGGCCGAGCGTGCGAATTGGCGGCAAACAGACAGTTTTGTTAGTCAGGGGAACTGTCAATTAGGCGGAAATGGGAGAGAAGACTGATACGGCCTCTATCTATTGTGCATTCAGAGGATTCACTCGTCACGGTGGAATTTTGCCCAGTCGAATGATAATTGAGCTAATTCATGGGTTCATCGATACGTGGTGAAGGTCACTGATTACATCGATTGAACACTCACGATTCAGGTGAAAATCAAATGGTTAACAGCACCAAACAATACCGAAGTAAGAAATTTATTTTTACGGAAAGGGAAAAAAAAATCGAGCATTGGTTAATGTGTGCAGGTGTCTGGGGCTAGTATAATTCTTTCGCCTCGGCATTTCCATCTGTTAGAGAGAAAAGGGAGCTGGAAAAAGTGGTCGGAGGCTGCTATAACGAATGAATACTGGTGCTTTCGGTGGAGAATAGCTGATCTAGGTGAATGGGGTCCGGTGAGAGAGCTTGGATTTACTCAGAGTTACGGGAGGATTCGCCAGGGCTCATGAGAAAGGGCCCCTCCACTGGAGTCGAATTGGTTTTACCATAATGACTACGTTTCAGGATAAATAGCTGAAAATAGATACAAGAGTTTAGGAGCTTTTTGTTATCCTCTTCTCTGTCTTCTCTTTTTTCTTTACAACAGTCTCTCTTCAGTATACTCACTTAATTCTCGCCAGCCCAATGATAAAATACTTTTTCCCTCTTTTCCCCTTATCCGAGTGGATTTTTTTTTTTCGCCAACAATTCTAACGAGTTTTAAAAAAGTTAGTCACGTCGGGGGAGTAAAACTTATCATTGATTTTGAAACATTAAGAGAATGTCGACATTCGCAGATTCCCCTTCTGTTTTTCTTCAACCCCCTGAGCATTAATCTTCCTTGTAATTCCGATTTAGTTCGAGTTTCAACCGAGTGTCACCCACCGGTGATCACGTATATTTCAGAAATTTATTTGTGATAGTTGAGCGGAAAAAAAATCCCTCTGCCCCTGGCAGTCTTTTTAATCAATGTGATTCGATAATTTGTTTTATTTCTTCGGCCACCCCTTCTCGAGGAATAGGAAAACTTTATAATTTACGGATTAGTTAATGGTGGGGATCGAGTTTGAAGCCATTCGGTTTTTATCCGAAGAACCAGGAGCTTAACATCGATGCGGAAAATTCCGAGGGAGAGAGGACACCGTTATTCTGCTACGCACAGATGAAAATTGAGGACTTCTCGTTCTTTCCGGGCTCATAAATTTAAATGAAGTCGTGAATAGAGGATATGATATATTAAAGCTTGTTTATCGAGTATGAAAGAAGAGAGAAATCGAGCTGTTATCTTCGGTGACAATTCCGACGGATAATATAAAGATATCGCGCGGCAAATTGCACCGTTAAAAAAAATTTGAATTTCCCAAAAATTCTCTCGCACTTCCACCAATTCTCCCCGAATAATTGATTCGATATTTACAGAAAAAAAGTCGTCGAAATTTCTGAGCCACTGAAAAAATAGAGTGAAAAATAACGACCACTGTCGCGTAGAAAAATAAAAATAAAAACGGCGCCGCTGGCGGAAAATTTCATTCAATTCATTTGGCGAATTCCTAAATGACGTCTTTCTCTTCTATCTCCGTAGTATTTTTAATAAGTCGTTCCCCGGCAATTTCATTTTAATCTTAGAAATTGAGAATCCCCCGGAAAATGAGAGTACGCGCATGAGAAAATCTTGGGCGGCGCGCATCCCCAGGAATATTCCCACTCAAATGAGATAGTTCGTTCGGATTAAAGCCCATGTATTCCACACATATACTATAAACGGCATAGCAAAATCCTCCGGCATGGTTCCCATTTCATTAGCAGGCTCATGGAAGAGGCGCCAGATTGTTCAGTGAACATCGGAATTATCCGAGCCCGATGCATCTAATTAAAACTCGTATTGGAGGATCCCCAGGTATCTCGTTTAACCATTGAAGAGAAACGGATGAGATTAATCAATTGGTTTTCCTTTTTCGAATTATAACTCATATTGGCTTGCATTTTTAAACATCAGAACAGTTCACGGATTTATCTCATTTATTCATATCGATGCCAAACCACCGACCACATCATTTGGCACTTTGCTTTTATATCCGTCACGTGTACCAGTCCACTGGCCCGATAATTAATCAATGGCTCAAACAGGAGCATATTCAGTTGGAATTTCTATCATACAGTGGGCATCTGTCCCCAAAACTCGTCTCTGTATCGATGTTGACCGGAGGTTTACAGAGAACGAATGCTCTCACTTATTCATCCATCGGTCTCTGACGGTTCAACCACAAACCACACGCCAAGTGGAAATTCCTGTCGAGCCTCGGATTTTTTTTTATTTATTCCATTGATTTTATGGGGTTTATATACCCCTGGGAATGGATGCTATAAATCGACTATTAATTTTGAACTCCTGTGGAAATTCTTTTCTGGTTGAGCAACTGCACTATACAATCTATAAATCTCCATAAATATTCTCGCAGCCAAGTATTTCTCTCTTCTGAGAGGCGTGTGTACGACTCCTGCAACTTTACTAGAAAATATTCCGACAATTTTATCGTCACCATCGGCTCAAGATGGAGCTTTCGAATTGTTTACGTCTAGGTGCTTTTATTTCACAGCAATTTTTCTTGTTTATGACATTGATGGATACAAATAAAGTCAATTATTTCCGTTGAGATTTTTTACCGCGTCGTTTCCGAGTTTCTACATTTCCATTTCAACTATGGATGATCTATTGACCTTGTAGTAGCTCAGGGGATATTTGGTGGCTGATGATTCCCTGGGCAGGTTGATTACCGTAAAAAGCGCCAGCACGAATATTCGGTGCAACTGGATCCTGTGATGCGTATGGAGAAATCGAGGCGATGGAGGTCTAAAAAATACCCCAACAATTAATTAATTCTCGAAAGACATCTCTGAATCCAGGGAAGGTGCAATATCTCTGTAATAATCTTCCTTGCAGCTCTCAATTATCTCCACAAAAAATGAGATGACAAAAGTTTCGATACCAACCGCAAATTTCGAATTTTCGAATTTTTTTAATTAAAAACTGAGCAATAGTGAAAATTCATCAACTAAATGCAATTTATAAATATTACCGATCGTTGGAGATTTGCGTTGGTAGCAGCGACTATTGACTGACGAACTACATGAACAGGTCCAATGATAGCAGTTCTGTAGACAGGGTCAACAGGAAGATTGGGATCACGTTGAACTACTGCATTGAATCCGCTGACTGAATCCGAGGCATAGGCCACTCGTCGCCTGGATCCATCAGGTTCAACAAGACTGTAGCTACCCTGCACTACATCTCCATTTCTGGACTCCTCCTGGGTTTTCTGGTCACCTGGAAGTAAATGATCATGACAAAATGCAATGGTAGGTGGACTCAATGACTCACCGGTTGAATCATCAGCCACACTGTAGCTATAGCTGTACTGTGGACGAGGATCGTACGTTGTACTGCCCACCACTTCTGCAGGTTGAATTACCGTCAGTGCTGGGGCAATGACAGCCGCCCGAGCCACCGCCAACATTGCAGAAAAAATGAAAACTCCTCGAGTCATTACGGATCGTTGATCGATTTATAACTGTGTCAAATCATACTGGAGAGCGCAGTTATATACCCATCCGATCATAATCCGTTTTCTCTGTTTAATCCGTCTGGGGTATAATTGTAGAAATATCATCTGGAAACCACTACTCTCTCATCAAGGACTCAAACAATTCAATCTCTTGATTTTTCACGTACTGAGGTCAAGACATTCGATCTACTTGTTTATCAGAGGCGGTCTGAGTCGATTCTTCTTTATTTTCTAACCATTTGTTTGCCAATTTTTTCTTCCTCTCCTGTTCAAGGTAAAATTGATGGAAAAGGGGGAGAGGAAGGAGGAGGGGGAGGGAATGCTATGTAATCATAGTCCTTGCACCATACCTTGAGTGGAGGGTCTTGGGAAGGCTGGGAATAGCCGGCATTTCCTGCTTTTGTCGATTTCACCGACATCCACACGTACACGTGTGAGTTTACACCACGGGATTTATCTTTTCTTAAACATGGAATTTATCACGTGAACGAAAACCTCATTCTTTGGAGGGGATTTCGAGGAGTATGAGGTACCCAAGATCGCTCATTTGGGCGGGAACCAGAAGTACCTCGGGGACTCGGCATTCCTGATTCAGACGATAGCGTGAATTCCCAGTGAGATCGTTTTATTATACTGGCAGCCGTTAAATCCAACTCCCAAGATTGACTTACTTTTTCTTGAATTTAACCTTTCGGTTGTCGCAAATAGAGTCATCAGTCTTTGGTTGTATTTTTTAAACTGATTATGTGGGATTATGTTTGAGTTTCAGTCGATAATTTTTACGTCATTTATTCGTATACTGCAATAAGCTAATTCAAGAGCGGCTCTCGATAGTTCAACTGAGGTGGCAAATCTATCGCTATCTAGTTTGGTCCAGCCGGAAATTACAGGGAATCTACTGCTGATTATATCGGATACTTCAGCTTCTCGCTTTCCGAGCTCTACTTTTTTGTCACCCTGAAAATCGATCCTCTATAAAGATTAGGTGGAGAGGTTTCAGGTCGGACATAATGGTTTCCAGTGAAATATAACCTGTTATTCAGAGCTCTCCCATTTCGATAAATCAAGGCAAATAGCTTGGGTGTATTGGATGAAAATAAATAGAGGAGAAGAGATCCGGTAATGAGGTACATTAATAGTATAAATTTCAGACTAAGCGCTTTGACCTCCGATTCAATGTATTTCGACACCTCCAGTAATGAAACCGCAGTGAAACTAGTGGATAATTGAGTGAGTGTAATGCAGACAGGAGATTGAAGGTCTTCCGGGGTTCTATTGAAGTGAGATAATGTGTCACTATGAGATCTGGTGACAAAATTGGTGGCTAAATCTCGGGGCAAGTGCTGAATAGCCCGGAATAGCCGCTGCCCCGAGGATATTTAATTTCCTTTTTGTTTGCCTATTTTCTTTCGCTTTTCAATTCTCACGTTTGATAGGTTATTTCTGGGTGGGAGAGAATTAAATGTTGGTCATGAGCGCACTTGAATAGCACAATATGTCGCGAATGTTGGCGACCCAGTTGCTAATGCCCACTGCACTCGGAAGCGAGATAACAGTGGATGGTATTTCTCCGGGAAGAAAACACAGTTTTTCTTGGTGACCCACTTTTTTTTTCCCTCGACTGAAAGACAGAAAATACTGCAAGGTTGTTGAGAACGCCGGATGGTGTACGGAAGAACACCCTCGTGGTAAAATCCAAAGGAGTTTGGCTTTTGTGGTCTGAATTGGATCGGGTTCACCGCGAGGAAGTAACTTATTTCGTACCCCGATAGCTTTACAAAATCTCATTCTCGCGTTTTCTCTCATTCCACCTGAAAAACTTCAGAATAAGCTGCGACTCATCCAGTTTTCCTCATCTCGACGATTTATACGAATCAGTTTCATGACTTTACCATCCATTTAAAAATGGATGAGAAAATTGGTGAAAAGTCGAAATAGTTTCAGCGAATAAAAAACATATCCAATTGTACGATACAGCGACGATTTTTCTGAGCCAAAGAAATTCTAGAAGATTGAGCGCATCTCGAGAAGGGAAATCTTAAGGTACGAAGTACGGATCCGGTTATCACCTGAGAGGTGCATGTGAAGTTGGATACAGAAGAGCTTTCGAAGAAAACTGCTCGGCGAATCGTTGAGAAAACGAGTGGAGCTGATGGGACCAATCCCACATGCCCCTTGTGCACCGTATAAGAGATCCTTTGCCACTTTCTCGTTTTTCCGCTCACGAATCCCAGTATTTCCCGCGTTGAAGGAAACCAGCGGATACAAAAGAGTCATTATCGTGGAGTGAGGAATTATGGGCGTATCACGCCAGGATTCATTCTATCTTAATAGAATATTTCGGATACATAGACTAAAACTCCATTTATCTGTTCCTCCAGGGTGCGTGATAGACGTGATTGTTTGTTTTTTTTTTTGCGTGGGCGTGATGGCAGATCATTAAGATTACCCGGATGTATCTTGATATCCGCATCATTCTGGTAATCATCTAGGACTTCGCGGAGAGGAGAGTTGCTGACGCAATATATAAATGGAACATTAGTGTGTCAATTACGGAAATTATTGAAGAAGGATGCAATGTAGGAATTCCGAAGAATCTTCCATTTACAAAAGCAGTGTAACTTCTTTCGTTTACGATCTATTCTGTCTAGCTTAGACTTAGATTCAAAATTACCTCAACATATAAAAAATGGAATTAAATTAAATATTCAATTTTATTATTGTCCAATTTCTTATCAATATGTATAAATCAATACATAGTATATATCTATTCATATAAATCATTCGTTATAGCAAATAGAACAATTGGTCTTTCGTCGTTAGCAAAAAGAAATTGAGAAAAGAATCTTGAAGAGGTGGAAGGAAGTGGTGGGAAAGATGAAAGTGGGCACAACTCCGATGAGATCCTCCAGGACTGTCGCATCCTTTTGATAGTCCAATTGGTATTCAGGACGTAACCAGTTGGGATTCTATCCCCCGATAATACGGAAACAAACTGCACATCTCACAGCGAATTCCAGGCCCCAGGAATTTGTTGGCCAGGGTTTTACCTGTTTCCCTCTGGAATTTACATGAGACGAGGTTATGAGTAGTCCAAGCTTTTCAATTATCTGGATCAAGCCCACGTTCAATTTAGCGTGGCCTTGGGTGTTCCGGTTTGAGTCTGTATCTCTTTTGAGTCGCCGTAATCATCTGCTCTGACGGGATGTATATTTTCGCGGAGATGCTCCGGGCGTGGTGGAGGACTTTCCGCGATGTACGCGCCCTAGGCGTCAGTTCCATTGCAACTCGTTACCCGGTAGACTCGATCTTCCACAGTGTGTCTTGTACTCATATTTTTCTTGTATATAACTATGAGACTCGTAATACATAGGGTTACCCTTCCGCAGTTTTGTCTAGACAATGTTTATTCGACAAAATGACAGACTATTCTCAATTGCATTTACAAATGGAATACTAATTTATTTGATGTATTATTATTAGTGAATGTTTATTCGATACAATAACAAATGTTATCGATGAATTGAATGGAAAATCGTGAGGTTTAATTTTGCGCTTGATTTTCAAAGATTATTTTTCCGACCCAAATATTCAGGAAATATAATTCAGGAAAATAATTATGCGAATTTTCGAATTGCCGAATTTTTCAATGAACAATTGGGGATAAATTTGAATTGAATACAGGATCGTAAAGGATTCCACGTTTTTAAAGGTAGAATTTAACGAGAATTTACAGCATTGTTATCAGAGAATTTTTGAGATTATCAGGGGGTGTTTTTTTGGGGCTGAGTGTGGCTCATCGAGTTACGGTATTTGCCGCATTAATTGGACATTTACATTATTGAGTCAATGCTAATGATCCATTGGCACGATTTTCATGAGAATTTTCAGTGAATTCATGTTCAAGCCTCGTACCAAAATGAGGGAGAGAAAAAAAAGGTAGGGTGCTCCAGTGCTCGAATTGAGTTTTGTTCCACGATTGGAATTAATGAATTTATGCTTTGGGGATGCTCATAATTTGTACCAGGCGACGGTATCATTGCATTATCATGCTCGGCACGAACCGGCCAATTACCAAAAACAAGCTAACCACAGTGTGTCCCCTCTTGCTGTGTCGTTTCTGGTTCGCGCGCCCGATCCGAAGCGATTCACTCCACCGGATGTGCCATATAACTCTGAGCCCACAACACAGGGCTACAATTATTCCGGCCAGAGGCTTCGTAATGATGCTCCGATATTTCGGGTAATATTGTTCTACATAGTATCAAGCTACATGTAAAACACGCTATTTTAGGCGTAACAATACCTATCGGCTGTGGAAGGCACGCTTGATGATCGCTAAATTGAAATTGGAAACTATCCGTACCATACTCACATCGAATTTCAATTTTCCACTGCATTGTCTGAGCGTATTTTCCGTTATTATGGGTTAATCATCAGGTTCCAATTGGCACGATCCAAACGGCTATCCGCAATGAGAATTACCATTTTTTTTTTGCAACAATAATAATCACTTTGAAGCTATTTTTTGTTACACAATTTTTAACTGTTCAATTAATACATGAAACAATATATTTTTATCTACTGCTCTTGTATTGTTTTTATGAGAATGTCAAGGGATTTTTCTTCAAAGCCAGTACTGTGGCCAATTATTAAATGTCAGCGCAGTTTTTTTATTGGTCCGGGTAAATCATGTGGTAAATGTTTTAATTGAAAAATAGTGGTGTCCATTTCACTGGAGATCTGACTGGCAAATGGGCCTTGGGCAGCAGAGAGGAAAAGCTTTGGTGTAATCATAGTCTTTGTATCCAATTTGATCCCTGCAGGAGTAAACTCCGCACCTGACGCAAAAATATGAATATTTTTGAGATATGGAGTGCATCGAATGATCAAAGGATCATTTCATGAGATTATTCATGGTGTTTAGTGACTCACCCACGACTAGACCACAAATTATTTTCATTGCAGGTGTGGATGGCACAGTGATGTTCTACTTGAGTTCCAACAGGAACTGGACTTTTGTGGGGTGGGGTCCAACCTGGTGGTCGAACTTCTCCGTAGAATGGTGGACATTCAGCTGTGGCGCACAAAACACTTCATATCAATCAGTACATTATCTCAAACGAGTTTAATTTAGTTTTTCAATGCAAAAGATTGTGCGAATTACCTTGAGCACTTAAACATGTAGTCAGTAGTACTCCCAATAAAGGGAGAACAAGATTTGTCTTCATGGTGATAGAAAGTGATATCAATCCACCTCCTATGACAGACAGCGACTCATCGTTGATGGATCTGCATCTGACAATTTATAGACAAGATGGAATGGGAGATCTACGGAATGTGAATACTAAAATTATCGTAATATATAACTTTAATCATCGGTTATCAGTGAGGTCTCAACCTTCATCCGTTAATGTTATCAGACTGGATGGGTTCAATGTGGCATGTTAACAGCACAAATGCCATTATGAGAAATGTAGTGAAGCTAATAATAGAAATCATTGCACGTTATAAATCTGTTATAAAACTACGAGAAAGGCGGTGGATTTCAGAGAAATTCTTTTCCGTATAGCTGTCCAATAAATTACGCATATAAATATATGGAAAACTTGTAAAATATTTGCTCCTCAATTGGAGAATAAGTGAGAGAGTTTCCTAAATGTCACCGCACCGTAGGTTGAATTGACGCGAAAGTACGTAGTGAGAGCAATATAAAAAAAAAATTCCTATAGTCCATTATGGAAATTTTATGCTCTTTGTTTGAAATGAGTTGGTCTAGTGCGATGAAATGAGAACACAGCGTTTTGGGGTTGAGTCAGAGTGCTCCCGAAATGCCATAATAAGGGAGGCCCCTACGATCAATCCTAGAAATGACTTTTACCCTCGGAAAAAAACTTTTAAACGAATCACCGCGAGACGAGTTAATGCATTCCTTTCCTCTGGAATCACACTACCTCGGTGAAATCGATTTCAACTCATTTCTCTGAAAATAAAACTTTTCCTATTGATTCCTCCGGTTCTGCGGATCGGTGGAATCCTCAACTAAAATATCCGCAAGCTATCGAAGTGAAATCGCACAGTGACAACGTAGAATACTTTCAATACGTTCAACTGGTACCGAGAAAAGTTCAAGTTCGAGTCAGAGTTGGAATAAAACATTGGAGATCAGGGAATTGGGCCGAAATGTTGGATAACTTCAATATAATATTTTACACATGCTACACGCTAAAACATGTATTCGATAAATAAAATCCATAACTATATATTCAATATCTTCTTCTTGAACATTTTTTTATTCTTCAATAAAAGTGTATTAAAAGATACATTGAGTTCGGGTAATGAAAATTAATTAGACAAATGTCCAAATATAATGTATATGGAGTTTTAAACAAAATTTAAACAAAGATTTGTATTTGATTTGAATTAGCAATGCTTTAGAGTGCAGTGATCCCCTCGGTTTCCAGTGTAAAACACACGTGAAGTGAAGAGCTTTAGCGAGATGGTTTTGGGAGGGAATTCCGCGTGAATCCGCGGTCAGGGTAGACTACGAGGGAACGTATCCCTCTATAAATAAGGGATGGAAGCCAAGAGAGGGACGATTGCTGTACTGCCTGGTATCCAAATTGTACAGTCGAATATGGAGAGGAGAGACTGGATATAAATACCAGGGTACGTTTAGGGGCATTAAGTTTCACAAGGGAGGGCGACCCGGTGTAATATGGATGCTGTCCAGCCCTACACGTGGCAAAATATATTAGCGAGGGGTGAAACACAGCGGGAAATCGATTGAGCGGTTTAGATTTCATCTGACATGTAATTAAGCAGAGCCAAGGACTTATTAGTAGACGATAATGACTTGACAATTACTAATGCTTCAACAGGACAGATGAATTTGAGGCGGATTATTGAATTGGTTGTTGCTGATTGAAATATTGGGGTACGGGACAATTGGCAATGTGGAAATACCGTGGCCCTGGGCAGTTTCAATAATCCTAGTGCAAAGACGGTATAGATCAACGAATATCAATACATCAATGTGATTAGTGGTAGACGTACGATAGAACTCGGATCTTCCTAACGAGCTCGAGCTACTAATTTCGAGTTCGCTGAGGAGTTCATGGCACACCCTAGGGCATACTTGTATGTAGCTGTACTTGGTTGGATAGTGCGTTACGAGGCGAATATCTACGTCAAGATGCACAGGCGGGTACCGAGTCATAATATCTTCGGGGTAATTAAGCCTCGGATCAACTATTAAGAGACCAAATTCATGTGTAACTCGTTACTTCATGTCTTTAAAAATTATGTTAAATCATATTATTTTCTCAGGGAACTTTTTACCACAGTATTTTATTCATCATCTATTCCGGAAACCGGATTGAAAAAAGTTATAAAATTCATGAGCCATTGGAAATGTCCGCTATTCCGAATCCCTATCGAAAAATCCAAATTTAGTGACTTTTTTCTATCAAATGTTCAATGGAATCGCCGTAAAAGGCATATAGAATTTTTTAGAGAGCTCTAGGATGGAGAAAATTGTGTGGAGTAAATTTGAAGTGTAAGTTTTTTTCTTTCTACGACTGTCCTTTTGGAATCAGTCGGGCTAGATGGATAGGATAAGAGCGAGGGCGTCCGCAAGCTGACAGGGCACCCACTCAACCGAAAATCTTTTCTTATTGTTGGCTGTATCACTCCTTCTCCGTGAATGGCCGGTTTATCTCCGAGATTTCATCGCAAATTGCTTTTTTATTCGTTGGCAGATTTGGCGACTGATAAAAATTGACTATCGAAATATGGTTGACGAAGTAAACATAAACAGGAGGTAGACGAAATGTAACGATTCAACCCCTCGACAATTCGCCTTCAAAATAACTATCAGACCAGGGGATCGGCTCCCGGGTGAAAGTCCCTGGGATTCGATTACGAACAAGATGGATGAAGGCAGGTGGGACATTGATTTCGCTAGATTGCCTCTAGAACGTTTCTCCTTGTGCGTTTGGTCTGGGCTATGCATCTTTCTTGAAGAGGTTACTTTTTTTTTCCCTCAAAGTAAATGCGCCTTGGATGAAGTTGGAATATCCGTTGGCTCTTTTCCCTGACAATGCCGGATTGGAAGATTTTATTATTATTAAAGTTGGTTGTAATGTGATACTGGGACAGGAGCAATTTTAATTCGAAAACGTACAACACCTACGGACGCCTCCTCGAATCGTGCAAGTTGACGTCAGTTAGTTACACCCTGACTAAACTTATTTATTATGAGTGTGTCCAGTCCAGCTGGTGAAGCCCCTTCGCAGTGTCGCACTGTCTTCGTTTAGTAATAAATTATCGTCCATCACAGGTCGACGTACTCCATCATGCAGACCTGCGAGAATAAACGCAAATATTCAACCAATTTACCTTTAAGAGGGCAATTACGATAATTTATAGCTCAGTTTTGTTTGTGTTATCTAGAGAGTAATGGATGGAAAAAAAGGCGATGTACGTTTTGTGCCAATGCAAACTGTATTTATGAGAATGGAGAAACTAGCGATAGTGATCTCACTGTGTTGACTTGAGAGCAAATTATATCTGCTTGAATGTGCGATTTCGCGTCGTTTACTTTTATAATTTCAGGCTAGAGTTTCCTACCGAGTGGGTTGATATGATACACGCGCAGCATATAAATGTCGCGCGTTATAATTGAGCGTGAGGATTTTATGGTAGCGATTATGTTTGAGCGTGACGTCTTCCACAGTACGCTGATGGGCATGAATTTACAGGAAGAATAATGGATGAAATCCAGGCAGATGAACAGCGGGATGATTGATTTCAGGCGATGAGACCGGGTGCAGCTTCATCAGAGTTAGATTCCAAATTAGCGCCTAGACAGTGGACTATAATTCAGAGAGAGGCTTGTTGCAATGGCGATCGTCGAACGGTCAGGTGTGGTCTGCGGCTCGGCCCTCCATTAATACGAATTAATTAGCAAAGTCGACGTCATAAAACGAGACTGCGTTTAATTAATTCGAGTTGCCGGTGGTATGTGCCACAGCCCAGAAATTCTCTCAACCTCAAAATGATCCGGTCTCTTCCTCCTTCTCGAAACCCGGGATAAAGCTCCTGGGGACTCTCCCATATACTCACCCCGAAAGCACAGCATGTTGGCTCACTGTGAGCTAGAAACGCAAAGTTGCTCTTCTACGAAGGCAACCGCAACCCCTTTGCAAGTCGTAAAGCCTGCGTACAACGCACGGTTGTAACTTGTGGTCTCGAAATTTCCGGACTCTCCAGCCGTAACTTAAAACGGTCGAGGGCCAGCCGATAGGTCATATTTCCCAAATCCCGAATGTTCTAGGGAGTTAGGACTTTATAGCAGGCAAAGATGGTAGACAATAATGGAGAAGCTGTAAAAATTCGACTGACTGCCTAATAGAGAGGTCCAAAGTCCCGCACTCGCATATCCCCTATGTCAACCTGATAATATAATCCGATTATTATTATGAGTTTTGAGGGAGCTTTACCATTGGATATTTCGACCTTGAAGGATTTACAATCTCGCAATTTTCCATGGCCTGTGGATCAATACAACGAGGGACGAGCGACGAGTGACAAACCCGCACTTGATGTCTCATTCGTCTCTGCAAAATTCCCACCATCCCGTCACTATTGTTAATTAAATCATCGCACTATGTGGTTAACTAATGTGGCTCGCTCGAGAGGCTTACGTTTCCCTGCACTTTCACCCGTGGAACAAACTTGGAGACTACGATCTGGTGTGTGCATAATCTCAGTATGCAATTGTATCGCAATTCAGCGGTTACAGCGCTAACTGTATACTGTTGCGAGAGTTCAAGTTTCGAGTTTACCCTGGGTACGTTCTCGCGTCGCTGTTATAAATTCACCTTTATCTCTAAATACGCGAACCGGGAATAATGGTTATATAATCCAGACTCCCAAGACGCTTCACCATTCTAGTTCTTTCAAGCTCCGATAATACAATTCACGTTATGGTGATGCTAATGAGGAAACCACCAATTATCATGGAATGGAGCTTGTGGTGGATAAACTTCAAGACCAAAAATTATTGCATCGTATACCTCGAATGCTTTATGAAACACAACAAAGTTTATCGCGTTGAATGGGGAAGAGGGTGGGCTTTCACATCGTAATGTTGTTTCTCCGGGGAAACGGAAAAACATTATCGTGGTTGAATTATTAATGCCAGGACTGAGAGAAATACCGAGGAAAATAAAGGAAGACTAATATGCTTGTTGAATGGACAGAGTACACGGTGGAGATAAGCTTTTGTGGATAAAACAATAGGTT